CTGCAGACGGATATACTGTACAGCGAGTTTCAAACAGTGGCCCCTCAGCGTTGTATTGGTGATGAGTCGCAGTAAAGGACGGCACACATGATGTGGGCCTTGTAAAATCAACTGTGCCATAATCAGATCGCCTCGTAGTCTGCGATAGCTTCCGCTGAATACCTCCAATCGTTGCAGCCTCTCCTGGTATGAAAGATGGCGCATTCCAATTACCTTCTTAGATCCCGATGATGTGGCTGCTTCAGTGCATTAAGGTCGTGTTTCAGCCATGGATGCCGGGCTTGAATTACGTATTTCACATGGGGGTAAATATACGCAGTGAGCATTTGCCGAAATATAAAGCTGTTTATTTTTCCAAACGACCGTCGCAACAGCCCGATGTGTTGGTTTCCAGTGTTCGGAACCTTTCCGGATTGCCTGCAGCAGCCCAAGTCATCTTGAACCAGGACACCCAAGTCATGTTCGACAGTGGATTGTTACAGTACATTCGTTGCGAGCCGGTATGAATAGGTACTCTGATGTCGGATGGAAAGTACCCTTGCATTTACTGAGCTTTAACTGCAGTAACTTTTAGGTTGACCATTGATATACCGTATCTAGATCACTGAAACGGATGCTGATCGGCGTTCACCTGGATTCCACGCCAAATCTTGATATAGTAGGCAAACATTAGGAAGTTTGAGGCGATTCCCTGTGCAAGGTCATTAATAAACACCAAAAACAAACCTGGACCTATAGCTGAGCCTTGCGACACACGACTTGTATGGGTCAGATTACGGACTCCTAACTCTGACCACTAATTACCGTTGCAGTAGAAAGTTGGCAATCCAGCTTCAAAGAGGGTCGCCGATCCTGTAATGTTGGAGTGTAGTATCCAATGGTCTAGACGATCGAAAGCCTTCGAAAAACCCATGTAGATCACATCAACGCCTTCTCCAGTGTCAGCTGACTCGGTCCAACTACTGCATGCGATTAGTAAATTTGTTGTACATGACCTCTGTCGACGGAAGCCGTGCTGCTCAGGCGTGATAATAATACAGCTTTCCAGATAACATACCAGTGCTTCGGCAACTATGGATTCCATAATCTTGGAGAATATAGGAAGAAGGGATACTGGGCGGTAGTTGGAGGGAACAATTCTGCTTCCACCTTTGTCAACCGGGGTTAGTATTCTAAGCTTCCACATGGCAAGAACTTGGTGCTGGTTTAAGCAGCGCTGGAAAAACTGGGCTAAATGTCCTGCCAGTTGGCTTGCTGCTTCCAGTGCCTCTAGATGAATGGTGTCGACACCCTGCGAGCTGTGTTCGCGTAGAGACGTCAGCTTTTGCAATACAGCCTGCGCTGTAAAAATCACGTGAGTTAGTCCTGGCGTGGAGGCGACAAAAGTTGAAAGATCGCTTGGTGACAAGACCCTTGGAAAAGTGGGCGCATATTGCATCCGGAGAGCAGTGGCTGCTTTCCCAGCCGTTCTTGTTGGGACATCGGCCGTTCTAAGTGGAGGAAATCCTTGTCTCACTTTTCCTAGACTATTGACGTGCTTGTACAGCAGTTTATGGTTAGCACTGAAGGAGTTTGCGATTTTCTGATGATATGCGACCGTCTTCTCTTAGAAGATGAGTGCAGTGGTTACGTTGGCTACGTAGTTGTCCCAAGTTTCTGGTGCTGGAGCTTCTCTGTACACACGCCATGCTGCGTTGCGTACTGTCATCCATTTTCGAGTTCTGCTCCTAACGAAAGAAACTGATTTACGCTTATTACAAACTCTTATATCTGAAGTCTCTGCAATCAGCTGACTGAATTTGTTGACGAACTCAAGCCAGACGACTTCCGGGGGTTCTTCGACAAGTAACGACCAAGTTGTAGCGTTGACGAACTGGGCTAATCGATCATAGCTTGTGATGATTCGCGCAGTCTCATCAATCGCATTCCGATATTCCGCATAGTAGAGAAAGGTTAAACTGATAACTGCGGGATCACTGCGACCCAACAGGCGGTTTAAAACCAACACATCAATCATGTGCTCCTCGTTGGCAAGCACAAGATCCAGCACAGATGGCCTGTTACCTGTTCTGAACCGAGTGAGTGAAGTGGTGTGATTGTAAAGAGGAACAGTGGTTAGGATATCTTGTAGATCGGCTTTGAATTGTTCTCTGATCGTGGCAGGAGTTTCTACACAATGCACATTGAAATCACCCATGATAAGTTTGTGAGTGTACTTTCGCTGTAAACTGCATCATAAAACAACCGCTAGTTGGTAATCGGTTTCGGGTGTAGAGTTAGAGTGTGGTACACCAAGATCATAAGACAAGCCTCTCTGCATATTAACTGCAAGCGGCACCAAAGAGAGTCGGAGAACTGCGAGGTCTGGTAATCTCCTCCACGGGCTTGCGGAGAGCAAAACGTTTTCAACGTCGGAGGAGAAGTGTAGTGTTATTCGGATAAGTCTCGGTACTCTATACCGTGGCGAGTTCGGATGGCAAGTAATTCGCAATAGGTTTATGGGCTTGGAGTAACAGAGGACTCCAAGATAAAGTTAGTTGAAACCTTAACGTTTTGATTCGTTCTCCGAGCTGATTAATTTAATGACAAACGTTTCACCGTTTCACCGTAGAGGAAAATCTCACGTGCGATTTTCCTCTGCGGAGCAGTGCACTGAAGATGCCACTGAGGGAAGTGGTGAAACGTTTGTCATTACATTCCTCAGCTCGGAGAACGAATCAAAACGTTAACTACCAATCCGAGCTACAGGTATTCCGAATCATTGCAAATAGTTGAAACCTTGTTTTCACTTCCAAACCTATTAGCTTATGCACCAAATCAACGGGGTATGAAAAGTTAGTGTTAGTCGCATTACACCAGACACATTTACCAACACTAAAACCATCAGTGGCAAAAATTCCAGGACGCACAGCTAATTGAACCCGTGGTCTTATCACCAGTCATGCCAGTAAATTTGTTTACCGGAAGGCTCTTAGATGGGTATAAGTCACTAGCCATAATGCCCGAACTCTAGCCGGTTGCATCTTTTGTCCACGAGATGTGATTACCGTCCAGTTCTCCGTCTGTCACGGAGACGGGACAAACCACCATGCATTCTTGCTCCTTGTTCTCAGATCCGTAGATATTGGGGTATTAGACGTTCATGTATGGGTAGCAACTATATTAATGTCTTTGCCGTAGGGCAATCGTAAAACATGGACGGGATCGTGACTGATGAAGCAGGTCATATGCAAGGAAGATGTTAACAAATTAAAACGGTAGGAAGGATGTATTGGCTGACTAAACTGCTTCATCAAACTGAGTGGTTATTGTCACCAATCACTAACAATAGGTATCTGTTGAGGAACTATTAGTAGTTCACCACATAAGGTGTCAAACATAATTAGTTATGTCAAGCGGAATTTCATCCCTATTATGTACTGTTTGTTTACAGAGTGAAGTGCTACCATGTCGTTCAAGCAAACTGATGTGAAAGTGAATAGTCTTGTCGTGTGGAAAGCGATTGTCGCAGATGGAAACCGACCCATTTAGTACGGGGACTTATCACGGCATTGGGATGCACCCAGCCCAGGTGGATATCGCGATTGTTCGTGGTTGTTCGTTTTGGAGCAAGCCACTGCACTTGTAGAATGAAACCTGTATACTAACTTGCACGTTTATTCATTTCAAAAGGTTCATTTACTGTTAAGAGGTTTAGGGTAGGTCAAATGATGGTCATACATGAATAACTCCGCTTGCATATACTAAACCTCACAGACGTTACTACGAAAAGTGAAATTTAATGCTAGTGACTTGGTACAAATACAGTAAAACGCAGCTCGGGTTCAGTGCCTCTGTATCAAACGGAATGATGCGCGTTAACGACGCAACATGATATGAGAAAATGGGATATTAACCGCCCTGAAATACATATTTTTTGAAAGAATTCGGGTAAAAACAGAGTATGCACACTTCAGATAAGTTCATAATCCGAAACCAAATGGCGAGTGAATGCAGCCAAGAGAGTTATTGAAATATATGCGTATGTGTAATTTTAATGGCTTCATCTTCGACCAGTAACCTGAAAATTCGCATTTCTAAGTACTGCGATTACTCGAAGAGAAGCATGTCGGAAGATTTGCCTCGATGGAACGCCTCTTATGAAACGTGAAAACAGGATAGCGGTTTTGATCAGACTACGAATGAGCCCGATAGATAATCTTGTAGTATGTTGCTGTGGGAACGACAACCTGCTCGAATGGTTAAGATGTTCTGTAGTTCGAAGCAACCAGAAGTTCCAAAATCCAGTCTGAGCATGCTGGCTCGTTGTGAGAACTTTCTTGGCAGACTGGGCTTATCAATTTCCGACAAACACTCAACAGCTGCACTTTTCAGGTATATTATCCAAAAAGATTTAACCTCGTACTACTCAATGTAGCAAAATGAAAAATGTTTTATTGTGTAAATGGCATTTTTCACTTTCACTATCATCCTAAGCGACATATCTGAGGTGCATACATTTGGTTTCATCGGTGTCTACTCACAGATACAAAAAAAATTCTAACCGCATTGGATACCATCGTAAGAAGACCCAAAGCTAGGTTGACTAAACAAGACAGTGGGCTAGAATGTCTCACTGATGTTTTCAGATTTCGACCGTGCAAATCATGAAGCGCTCTTTACCAGTCGGTTTTTTATCCATCGCGAAAACAACCCAAGCAAACGTACGCACTGAGCTTTTGCAACCAAAGCGTTTTGGTATCCTTTTATCCACTCATCCACGCGTAGAGAAGCTTTGGATTGACTCTTAGTTAAATTCCATGGTGTTTCGCCGAATATAAGCTCCAAGCCACTGACGTTTCGATGTCGCATACGAAAATGCTTATTTTAATCAGTCTAATCAGCTTTTAGAAACACGGCTTTTGCACTGGGGATAGAACGACGCCACTATACGGTGAAGCAAAAGTAAGTAGTCTGAGAGGAAACATGTAGCACATCAAGTGAAATATAAGTCAAGCTACCTGCTTCGTGTAACTTGAGTAATATGGTTAACAATATATCCTGAGATTTCTTGTCGGCTAGTGATAAATCCAACTTTTGGAAAAGGTCCAGAAACTCATCCTCGGTCAAACTGCCTTCCTCAGCCTTTTTGTTCATATACTGCAACATGAACATAGTCATCTCGGTGGGAAGCGGAGCCAAGGTTTGCTGCGAATCGATATCTGTTACTTCTTCTTCTTCCGACACCAGACTCCCTTTAGGAGCTATGTTGCTCTCCTCATCGTCAGCTTCATGCAGTTCGGACGGCGTTCCGGCACCACTGGGCAGATTGGATGCTTTCCTCAGAGGACTAATCGTGCCACTCTGACGTGTTCTACGTGGCACCGGATCAAAAGCCGCTACCAGATCCCGCATCAGCGGGGAAGGGAGATCGGAGACGTCCACGGTGCTGAGTTTCAAAAGCATTTTATGCGCCAGTTTGAGAATCTTCTGGTAGCATCTTGGTTTTGGTTCAGAATTGTACACCAAAATTAGGGCCTACAAGTAAGAAACGCTGACTGAATCTTCTGACGAGAATGTAGAATAAAGTAGGCCGATGAACATCACTGTTGCTAGACTGAACTTTATGAAGGGTACTTCACTCGATTCGAAATATCGGCATCAGTAGTCATATCGCTCAAAAATCAACGGATCGGCTGTACGTTTGCTTACTATGAATTAAAACAAACACTGATCCGAGACTTTCGCAGTAGGAAAGGGCGCTTGACGAAGCCGGTTTCGCCACAACTTTGTTGGAGGAAAGAACTGGTTTAGCCGCCATCTTAGATATATAGGACTGTCACTGTGAGCTAAATTTGGTGTTATGTTTTCTGTCAACATTCTCTTCTTTAGTGGTAGCCGCAAATCTAAGCAACATGCTAGCATCATGTTCCAGAGACCGACTAATACACAAGAAGAACACTAGAGATTTCATAATGTGGTATGATCGAGTTGGTCAAATGGACGCCGTAGTCTTTACCTGGAGCACAACCAAGCTGTTAAAACAGAATGAATCCTGGACTATCGATTTCGACACATCTCCCAGTCAAATAATGTCGGGCGTAAAAGTTCAATATCGTCTAGCCAAGAGAAACTAAAGCCCAGTTAAATAGCAATTCGAGGGAGCAGTTTCACCTGAAGTGTCTGATGTGAAAATACAAGTTTATTTGGGGTCCAGCACTGATCTAATGAACGCATCGTGTACTATTGTGTCGTCAAGCAGCAGTGAAATAGATCGAGCTATTTTGGAAAGCAACAGCTGTACTGGTTGAGTCAACTTGCATAGGTATTATGCCGTAAAGAAGAGTGAAGTTATTTTGCAGTTTTCGAAGCTATAGTATGTCAGGCTGAAGGTAAGAAGATCATTCCTTGTAGACAATTGTGGATGAGCACCTCATGATCATTTTGGAGGATTATTAATGAAGCGAAAACTAGTTCACGCGGTCGATGGGCCTGGTAAGACGCTTAGTCATTCAAAGCCAGTCAGTAGTATTCCTGTCCGCACAGTTTGATGGACAACTGTGCTAATTTTATGTCTTTTTGGTCACCCACAGAAACAAAAGTGAAATAACAAAAGAAATAGCGTAATATACCCAAACATATGAAATAGTAGTTTATGTCATTACCATCACCGGTCTCTAAGCATAAATCTTCAATTTTAATAAAATCTTACTTTCAGTCAGCGCAAGTGAGGATTTTTCATGCGCCTGGACGTCGCAGTGAGATATATTTGGGACAAATTTCGGTAAATCAAAAAAATTTCCATGCAGTTCTACGACTTCAGTATCACGCAATCACAAATAAATAATGGATTTTTATTTACCTTAAACAGTATTTACAGCCGGCAAAATTGCCTTCACAGTATATGTTAAACCCACACTAGAAAAAGTTTTCCTATAGACATTTCTGGCGACATGGAAATGCCATGTTTACAAGGCCACAGTGAGTACCGTCGTACTCTAGTGTGCTCGGAACATCTGAGGCGCCTCCAAGTCCTTGCTCATCGCTGTCTGCGCAGCATTGATGGTGTCGGGTAGCACCAGCGTGTCCGCAATGATGATGTGCGTAGGCAAGTGCTAGGCAGTGTTAATCAAGCTACTTCCTTAGAACAACAGATAGCACTGAGTAAATTGTTTTGGTTTAAATATTCCCAATGTATGCCTGGTGACCGCTTACGGAGGAGGGCCGTGTTCTGTATACCAGATGTAGGGTGGCGCAAGGATTTTGGTAGACATAAGTTGACTTGGCGGCGAGAAATGAAGACACTGACAAGCGGACTTGGTGCCGTCGGTCCGTTTCGCTTTGCAGGCTGGTGTCCATTTGACTAACCTTGGGCTCAGCTGGAGACTTTGAGGAACTTGGCTCACAGTGGACACCAGTAGCGCATCTGCTTACGTATTCTAGTCTGACTGTCTGTTTAACGTGTGTCAAGTGCTGAGTCTTCAGCGCGTCAGTAGTTGCTTATGACGCCGGGCGGTGAAAGCCGCAAGGTTGCAGTCTCATCGATGTCACGTTATCTCTACACTATAGCCAGCTGTTTGTGATAGCATGTTGTTGACAAGGTATAGGCATCTTGATCCAGAATGTTTGTTTAGGGCATTAAGGTTCTCCCTTACTTTCCCTCATAGTACTCTTCGTTGCGTAGGTCGTTATGGTTTTATGTCAGCGAAGCATCAGTTCAAATGACTGATAGACTGCTGCTGCTGCTGATGATAATAATGGGACCACAAATTTCTTCTCAAATGTCACCCTGGAAAGGCCAAAGGCAAAACAGTCACTCAAGATGCTCCGTCAACCCAGCATATATCTTTCCGTACATGATGTAACCTGGGACCTTAATGCAAGGGAACAAGGGTAGAAATGGCTGTCGAGAAAAACGCCGGACATCTGTCGAGGTTACGGAGGACAAATCGCACTGGAGTGTCGTTACGACCAATTCGGATAAAGAGCACACATCAGTGTCGGCGGTATTCACAAGACTAGTTAGACAATCCCGAATGCAATGAAGTCGGACATGGTCTAAAGGTTTTTGGGTAGATTCGTCGCAGCTAGACGCAGCCAGACAGCCACCACACATCCAAGAAAAGGTTATACGGCCGTTCTGCCATACTGGTACTCGTCAGTAGCGCGCACCCGCCGACTCCAGCCAGATTCGAAACCACGACCAAGGTCTTGCGAGTCAGCGACTTATTTCACTGAGCCATGGGCGACGGCAGCGGACCGCCATGGCTGATACCTAACTGCGATATAGCGTGACTCACCCTCTACTATCTTGCATGTTATGAATCTGCAGAGGACAGGGGTGGCCCCCAGAGCAACAACTTCCTTTGTAAGCCGCCACCAATCGAGGTGGCATTTAAGTTGATAAGGCGACTACTCATTATTTGTAAGTAGTACGGAATTTATTGGTTTTGGGTAGCCTGGTTGCAGCTAGACACAGCCAGACAGCCACCACACATGCAGGAAAACGCTAGACGGCCGTTTCCTCCTGTTGGGACTCGTCAGCAGCACGCACCCGCTGGATCCTGCTGAATTCGAACCCAGGACCATAATCTAGCTGCGACGAATCTACACTAAATCCCAATAAATCCCCTACTACTTGCAAATAATCAGTAGTTGCCTTAGGAACCTACATGCCACCTCGTCTGGTGGTGGCTTGCAATGAACTCGCTGCTCTGGGACCAGCCCTGTCCGCTGCATATTCATAACATGCAGGACAGTGAAGGACGAGCCGCGCTATATCGCAGTTAGGTATCAGTCATGGCGGTCCGCTGCCGTCGCCCACGGCTCAGTGAAATAAGTCGCTGACTCGTAAGAGTATGGTCGTGGGTTCGAATCTGGCAGGAGCCGGCGGGTGCGCGCTACTGACGAGTCCCAATAGGATGAAATGGCCGCCTAGCGCTTTCCTGGATGTGTGGTGGCTCTCTGACTGTGTCTAGTTGCGAACAGTATACCCAAAAACCCAATCAATCCCCCTACAACTTACAACTGGTCTAAAGGTGTCTATTGAGTTCTATGGACTAGCGCTTTGTAGTTATTTAAAGTATTGTAGATGACTCATGCTGCCTAGACCAGTAATAAATAAGTAATAATCGTCAGCTTTACGCCGTAACGGCGCTGCAGTGTCGCGCGACCCCCATCAGTCGCGAGTGGACTGAGTATACCGCGAGGACACCCGCCCCTACGCGGATTCGGACCGATGACCATATGGTTGCAAGCCAGACATGCGCACCAAGTGGCCACAGGCCAACCCAATGCTTTGTTCCTACTGAATATTAGAGAATAGAACAACTGCTGTTGTCTATTGAGTCCTTCCGCAGCGTCGCGAGGTATTACTTAATGGTTTACCTGGACGAGTGGCTTATCACATATCCAGATACCCTGCACTGTCTGGTACTTTTCCAGACGACCCTAAGCCTGCTGATCAAGAGCCGACCGTGATGAACTATCTCTAAAGATACAAATGAACCGTTGTGAGACAAATGATTGGGACCAAACCAAAAGCCTATCTTCCTTGGGCAATAAAGTCTACTAACCGCTTGCCAACTACTTTTGTGGCAACAGCTGTGAGTCTGAGTCACTGTGATCGACAGTTTTCACGGTTGCAGTCAAGAAGCCATCATCATCCTCATTAGACACGATAGCTAGAGGTGGGAAGCACCTCATCTACCGTGCCGCAATATAAAAAAGGGAATAAAATGCAACAGGTGCAAGCCAGCTGAGCTACCGGCAACGGATGGGCACCTTACCGGTAAGCTACCTGCCGGCTACTATGGAGCAGAAAAATATTTACTGTGCAAAATTATAAAATGCTAAATAATGAGCTCGTGGTTGGAGGGTGAGGCTAAGAGGGACGACGTGGGACAAAGAAACGCACAGCACGAACGCCACTGAGGTCGGCTCCTAGCCATATCAACAAGTGTATCCAGCCAAACATGTCCATCGTCTCTCGGACCCCAACCAGGGAGCCAAAACGCTTCAACCGAGGCCAACTTCGAAGTCAGGGCCTTTATTCCCCTCGACCAAGTCATCGCTTGGCCACTTCTCTCCTTCCATCCACACCCCTGGCGCGCAAACAACGCACGTCGCGGGAAAAGGTGGGCTGGCGTGTGTATCACGTGGCGGAGCCATCGGGGCCTGGTGCGTGAAATAACGGAGCTGAGCGGTTCATTTTGCTTTGCTGTGCCGTAAACAAGGCGTCGAACGCGCTCGTTGCTCACGCGGTGTTCCCACCAGATGTGAGCCCAACTGCGAAGGCACCGATTGTCGAACGTAACCAGCCTCTTTAAGTCCGCTGATTTAAGGGGCCAGGTTTCGCAACTGTACAGTAGGGTCGAACGTACCGTTGCATTGTACACTCTGCCCTTCACGGCGAGTGATGTCGCGCCGGAGACATAGGTAGCGAACGTTAGCAAAAGCGCAGCGAGCTTTTGCCATACGGTTCGTGCTCTCATCTTCAATCCCACGGGCGCTGATACAACTTCCCAGGTAGTTGAATG